AGAACCCCGCCGATACATCAATTCTACAAGAAAACAGCAAAAAATTAGGCCAGATTGCGACCCCTTTGCCCCCCCGTAACTCGAAAACGGTTCCTATACTCATCTTGAAATTTTTTCCTGAGTTTTCTGTTACTATAAGCTTCCATTTAAACCTTGGTCCGATGGTCGAATCGAATACCTAAAAAGGGGCCAAATTTTGGGAGGCTCTTTCACTGATCATCTCATCATATTCCAAAATACAGTAAAATCAGCGCAAATCTGGTTTTAGTTAGTGTTTTTTCCACCTGTGCAACACCTATACTCGCAAATTGCCAAGTGCTTAATTTTGTCTGGAAATGGTATTATATTCTTCATTAATGTGCACTACTTGATCAATGACCATTTGGACTGAGTTAAGCAGAAAGGAACCAACCCACATTTTGGGAAAAATTGAGTTATGAGTGGTTTTGAACTCAACCACAGCTCTACTATCTATCGCCAAAAGTTCAAAGTTTTTGTTGGAGCAAATTTTGCAGAAATTGAACTTGAAGTTTATGTTTTACATTGAGTCTTATGCAGGAGCCAAACTTTAAACCTCTTTTTCTCGGTTCGATCCCGATGTGGCTTGGTTCCTTTCTGTTTAACTCCGTCCATTTAGTCTGAATTTTTTTTATAAAATTTCTGTGGGGGTACAGAAAAATTAGACGAAATACTATGCCATAAAAATAATCAGTTAAACTTAAAGAAAAAAAAGAAAAAGAAAAAAAGAGGAAATCTGTGATGTCACAGACCAAGATGTCAGGTTTTATCCTTTCACCATAGAATGTTGAACCTTAAATTCTCTTCAAAGCTCACATGTTTACACGAAATGCTGGTTAAATTAACAAGTTAGGTGTTAAGGCAAGTTCCCACAAATGACTCAGGTTTATTTTTTCAACAAGATCAGCAGGGTTGCAAACCAAAGGAGAAAACCGCTCCACTGAAGTCAAGAACAAAATTCAGCTGCTCAATGACCAACGTTTGCATCCATCCATTTTTAGACCCACCACGGGAGATGGGTCGAGAATTTTGGATAGGGTCTTCGTTGCTGCCAACATGAATCGAATGTTGTAAGCGCACTGGCGACAGGAGGAAATTTTGTTCTCTTGTAACGGAGGTTGGCAGTAAGTTAAAACCTTTAACCAAATCCACTCTTGAAAATTCGCCTTTTGAGTTCAAACAATAGTGTTATATTGATTGGTGGTTAGTGGCACCTACGGACCTACACTTCAGTAACCGGCAGTGTAAAGCAGTATTACAAATTTACCTTTTAGTTTTAGGTAGGAACCTTCTAGCCCATTCTGCTTAATTTTTAGGGGTCATTCAACACTTTTACTTGTTCTTACTTATACATAAATTCGAAGAATGCAAGGAGTGGAGAAAATCTATGCTATTTTTAACCAGGATTTTTGGGATGCTGCTTTATGTCACCCGTGTAAGTGACAAAAACTGATAAATTGAATAATCAGCAGTAGGTACTACGGAAATGATCACAAGATACACTCTCAAGAGAGTAGCAACTTTCAAATCAGAAAAAATGAGAGAGGCCACAAGGTGAAATTCATGATTCAAAATTTTGATACAATAGATATCGTAGATGAACAATGGCTCAGTCACTACAGGCTGAATTGGTGTACTTGTGTAACAAATGACACCAATGAGCGATGCAGACAAAACCAGTGATAGAAATTTGGTTGGGAGCTAAATTTGTACTTGACACAATTTAGAGTGAACAGACTTGTACGTATCTAGTTTACTGATGGATTATAAAATCATGTATGCCAACAACGTCTAATTCGACTGGAGTAGAAATAGGGTTTTCGAGAAGGTAGGATTGAGTTCACAATGGCTCTTTCCGACTCCAAACATATCCAAAAGTAATGCAGACAAAGTCAGCTCTGAAGTCAGATTTAAATACTTTGATGCAGATCTAATAGAAGTTTCATCAGAGCGGTGTGAAAAATGTTAATTTGGAATAGGCTTACCAGTTAGCGAATAATCAGTTCCACTTCCAGCTGATCCTGGCGTCAACTCATAGCAGGGTGAATTATTCCAGACTATCTTGAAAATTAAAGAGGCAATCCAAGGGAATTTGCACACAACACTTAAATGTAATTAGATTAGCACGATTATAGAAAATTTCCAACCGTAGAAGTGTTACGACAGAAAAAGCACCAACATACTTTCCTACAAGGTCTCACTAGACAGTGAAAATGGTTATGGACCCTAACTGTAGAAAATCGTTACAATATTGAAACAACCACGATCAGAGCACAAACATTTGTTTGAAAAGATAATGAAAGTAGACAAATTCTCCTGGAAGAGACAATTTAATTTGACCAAAAAGAATGAGGTTAATTGCGTAAAGTGATAATGGAATTCGAAAACATTATGGACGTGAGTGATCGACGTAACAAACCGTGGGTTATAATCCGATGAAATGACACACTTTATTTCCTTAGACACAGGCGAGAATTCAAAATCCGAAGAAGTGAATTTATCCGCGCACTAATTAGGGATTTTACAAAATTTGAAGGGAACACATCACGGCACACACGGACATGTCACGAAATTCACTAATCTTCCCGTCATCCTTCTCCAACTTGCCTTGTGGTGATTTTGTGAGATGGTAGTTTCTGATTCTGACAGCGGATTCTAAATTGATAACAGCGCCACTGTACAGTCTGCAGACAACACANGTAGGCGTCAAATTTTTTTTATGGACTCTTGAAGTTTGATGATCCGGAGTAAACTCATCGAACGAAGAGCGTATCTGATGGGGACTTTTCGCGTAGGAAGAGGCGTTCCCCGGGGTTTAAGCGTTTGGTGATCGACGTAACGTTCGTAGAAAATAGTGAGGGTGAAGGTTTATTAGAGGAAGAAATAGCGGAGAAGAATCGAATAGTTGAGGGGGAGAAGGTGAACGGGTGTTGGCGGATGTAATTTACGGTAGGCAGCGCTGCGGTGGCGCGGCGGTTTCTAGAACTAGTTTAGCGGTGCCCTCTTGTTACGCGGAAGGCGGGAGGCCCGTGTGTATTGTTCTATGCGCAATCGGATACGAGTCGGATAGATTCAGGCGGGTCTATTGGTTACTGTTTGACACAGCTGCCAAATTGAAATAATTTAAGTAAATTTAATTTATTTTTGTTTTCAGGTGTAAGTTTGGCTTCTGCGTTGACTGTGAATTGTTTTGTTTTCTGCCAACTTTCCGGCGTCTCTTATCTTCAGCAAATTTTCTCAAACTCTGCCGTACTTTTTTGTGATGGAATAACAGTAAATTAATGCATGTATTTTTTATACATTGTGTCTATGTAATCGAACTTCCTCAGCTTATCGGCGGTGGTCTGAAATATATTCGTCAGCCTGCTTGAATTCACTGCGAAAATGTGGTTGCTCACAGGGATAAGGGAAGAAAACCAAGGTAATTTCCTCCTTGCTTATAATTTAGACGAATTTTCCCCACAGCACAAGCTTGCTGGTTCCAAACAACTAAGACAGTTTCAATACGTATCCATTGATGCGAGTTATGAAATACATATTACTCGCCCGTGTGTGCGCGTTCTGACTTTCATCGAAAAGATCATTCAATAAATACACGTTTTTACTAGCTGCCACTCCTTGAAAGATAAACGTCGTAGATTTTAATAAGCAGTAGACGCCTTGCATGGTGCTCTGGGCGGAGGTTAAGCCACTGCTCTCTTGCGGTTTCCAATTGGGTTTTTGAGACATGTCCATTGACTTACAACACAATCTAGACCGCGTACTAGGCCCCACGTAGGTGAGACAGCTAGGGGGGTAAATCAGGGTAAAGACGCGCCTTCAGCTTAGTTGATACAGTTGGATATACGAAGCGTACCAGGCAACGGCACAGGCAAGACTGGCATTTCCATTGTCTCTGTACATATTGGAATACTATAAGTATGTACTAAGACAATCCGGGTTTCTAATCGTCTTGCCAAAATTCCCTAATGCGCGGTCTAGATTGTAATATACGCTAATGGACGTGTTCGAAACATGCTATTTTTCTACTAAGGAAGGTTTGAAAACACTTAAAGGATCACCAAAGACGAGCTCTTTTAGCTTCTTGATATAGTGATATCATGGAAACGCGAGAATTATTCCTTTTCAAGAATCAGCAGTAGGTACTAGGATACCACTCGTAATCTAAATAATGTTTCCATTGTCATGAGCTCTAATTTTTGGTCTTGTTTTAGATCAAGTCTACTATATTTATCAGTCGAGAGAGCACACTGTCAGCCGGAAAGGAGGAGATGTAACTCTAGCTAATGATCAGTCCATCAGTCGACTTCATGCCAAGATAATACATGGAACCCAGGTCTGTATATCTCCAAACATTCTCGATCATAGAGTCTTTCTCTTGGTTCGGCTGTGTATTTATGGCTTTAGCAGTGATGAAATAACTTTTATTCAAATTAAATTCAAAACCTCGAAGAATCAGATATTGGCAAATAGATTTATTTATAGGCTACGACTGAGGCAGGGAGTAGGTAGGTCTTTACTTCACTTTCTCTGAACTCCTGCCACCTCTAGCAGGTAACTATTTTTTATTAACATTGAAAAAGCGAGAGAGTTTTTTTGTGGGCTGATTTTTGAAACTATATAAGCACAATAAAATCAGACAAAATTCTACCTGCAGCGCGTTTGTTGAAATTTATGTCAGCACGACAAGAATCGAAAATCGATATATTACATGGTGCAGATAGGGCTATGTCTTGTCTTATCGTTCCGACATAGCCAGGTAAAGTCTCAACAATCCGGCTGCAGCGAAATAGATAGATTTTCTATCTCTTTCCAAGCAATGTGTAAATGTGGTTAAACAATTGACCTGCAGGTAGCTATTTATTACTTAAGCTTCTAATATCATCTTTCAGAGTGAAAAAGTTCCCATGAGAATATTTATATCATTTACATCCTAGAAAATCAATTTAGCACTATAGCTGTTAGTATGCAAATACTGCCAACATGAGTCAGAAAGTCATTGAAATAACTTGAGACAACTGTCAAATGCTTATAACGTTGGTGTTCGGGTTCGCACAAGAACTTATTAATTTAAATTTTTTAAGGAAACTCACTTGCTTGTTGTTTTAAACAACGTGCAAACTGTGAGTTTTCTTAAAAAATTTAAATTGTCTAATGCTTGTAGTAATTCTTCAGGAATCACTCAGTCTTAGAACTTTTAATAGGCTCTGTACTAAAAAAATTGCAAATCAATACCTAGATCTGCAACTAAAACAATTGAAAGTTTTTGATCGAGAGCACTACTGTACGGTAGATTTGTTGGGCCACAGAGATAATGAGCCTTTTACAATGTTTGTAACGCACTAATAAATATTAAGAAGCAAACATAAGGTTATCATTGTGACTTTTTAATTTAGTTTCTGTACTTTTTAATGTATGTATCACTTTCCACTGTTGTAAGCGGTATGCTCCAGCCAAGTTGAGATTCCTGTTTTGAGTTATTAAAAATAAGTTTAAAATACTCCATTCTACATGTTTCAGTAGGCACTCAAAGCGTTCAACTTCTTAATACATGGAATAATGTAAAATTTACTTTTATCAGGATGAGAACCAAATTCTAGTCATGGATGCAGGCTCAAAGTACGGAACTTTTTTACTGGAAGACAATGATGAGAAGAAAAAACTGGTTGCAGATGAGGCAATTATCGTTAAATCTGGTAGCATTCTTCAGTTTGGACTTCAGTGGAATGTGTTTCGGTGAGTATTTTTATTCAAGTACTTATCTTGAAAAATGTTTTTAATAATGATTGCTTGAATAAAAAGTCAATGATAAATGAGAAAAAAGAAACCCAAATGGACAGCATGAAACAAATAAGTAACAATCACGGTGATAGGATTTACATATGGCAGGGAATCGGATTCGGAACCTCTTGACTGCAGGGCTAGTGCGCTACTGTTGAGATACCACCAGGTTCAAAAGGGCCTTAAATATCTACTATTATAAGCTTGTGCTTTTACCTCTAAAAAAAGGATCGGTTATGTCACAATAAAAATTCAGAAACCCAAGATCAATTGCTTCCAACATAGCATATTGGTACGTTCCTCATGATTTTTTTTTTTTTTAATTTGTATTCTTATTATTATATGATTTTTCTAAGAGAGTATCACACATTCCACTCGGAGATGGGAAATTTCTCCTGTTGAATTTAACACTGATTTCAAGACATAAGTTTTATAAAGATTGATTTTAAAACTTAACTATTTACCTAAAGACTCGTCGGAACTGAACATGAATGCTCATAATCATTTTTGAAATATTGAAAATCACCCAGACTTTATCGCAACTCTATATACCTATTTGTTTAATAATTTTAAGAGCCTCAACATCAGAAATGTATTCATGCACCAATTCTTGTTGAAACAGCCAGCTACTAGCCCCAAAATTTAACTGTGTTTTTGCTCCAATGTTTCAGGCTTGATTACATGCCTCTAGTCGTGTGTCCATCAACATTGAACTCAGCTGAAAAGTCTCAACTGAAAGGAATAGTTCAGGCTTTAAATGGTCAGTTAGTCAGCGACTGGCAAGAAAACACAACGCATCTTACAATGAACAAAATTACTCTGACCGTCAAGGTATAGCAAAACACAATTCTGCCTACTTACTGTATTATGAATCAATACACTCACACACTCGTCCATTTCTCAGTTTCTTATGCACCATTTTTCATTTTATATTTTTATTTTTTGTAACCAAATTAGATACTTAAAGAAAAAATACAATTGGCACATGAAATATTGTTGATAACCTTTGCTCCCGGCGACAATTTTCAGTAGCAGGTCATGTAGAGGCCGTGTTGTCTCCCCAAACAGTGGTCTTACATTGAAAACACCTTTCAGAATACAAAGGCTGTTCTAAAAAATTGAAAGTTAACCTGGTCGGAGCAAAGTATTGAAGATATTGGAATTTGGTCTCCAGGAATTTATAGCTCATATCATTAGCTTTCTAAGAAGCTCTCGGTGAGCTCATTTCGTTGAGCTCGTTGAGCCCAGGATTTTTAAGCCATTTTCCACTCTTCAAGCTCACCTGTGAAGCAATGTAACACTGGGAATGAAGTTCAAGACACAACTAATCTACTATACTGCAGTGCTAAGGAAAAACGCCGTATGAGCCATCAGGCGTTGCCGAACTTCCTTCGACAAAATATGTAATTACAGGGAAATTCATGACTACATCTCTACTGATTTTTCAGAGGATTTCAATCGTACTTTGATCTGTAAAGTCAGAAAATTTCAAGAAAAATGTTCATAGCTCCTTTCAATTATTGATATTTTCTGAGAGGAAATTTGGCAACATTTGAATGCTCATACAGCGTTTTTCCTTAGCGGGGTAGTATAGTTCTCATGTCAACTGATAATATTTAAGAAGTTGACTCCCTTTTCAGATTTTCCAAATTCAAAGATGCTGACAGGCTGCCACTTGTCAAATAATAACCCATGCGGAAGTTCAAACTACGAGTCTGGAATAGCTATTTTGAACTTATGTTTTATTTTCTTCACGTTACCTTCCTTCTTATATTTCAAGGTAATAAGAGTAATTGATCTGTTTCTGTAGGTTGTCTGTGCCCTAGGATATGGTAAACCTATTGTCAATTTAGAGTTTTGGAATGCTCTCAAAAATGCTGTGGAAACCAACACCAAGCTCCCTAATTACGAAAATTACACACCACCTCTTGTTGAAAAAGCTCTGCACAAAAGCAAAGTTTCATTTACAATTGATCTTGGCCGACGAACATTGTTTGCGGGCAAAACTTTTATCGCTTGCAGTCCTGCTCAGAAACAGCGTCTAGAGAACATGGTTGTTGCAGCAGGTAATTCACTTTCTTATGCTATCAATTTCATATCATGACAAAATACTAGCGGCCCGATTATTGAAACTATGTCGGCACGACAAGACGAGACATAGCTCTATCTTAGCCATGCAATACATCTCATTTTGATGTACCATTGAGCTGCTTTAAACATTCAATGTTTTAATGCCTCAGTATCCTAAAATTAATTACCAGGCTACTGAAGTAAATATTTAAATGTTGAAGGCTTATTGGTTGGATAGCTGTAATGGGCAATGAAGGTTCATTTATTAAAAAAAGTCTAGCTGGACTCGGTGGAAGTGGTAGGAGTGGTCGTAGAACAAACGGGAAACAACAGCTATGAAAGCTGTATTTTTGTATGTGTGGTTGTGAATTTCTGGATTTTAATCTCATCATAAATTAATATTATTGTAGATCAAAGTCTTTGCTTAATCTGCTATAGGAGACGTTTCACAACTTTTATGTAGTTACTTTGTGGATAAAATTGAGAGTACCATGGATGTTTTTGAAAAGTTCATGGAAGTGTACAGATAGCAAGTCTAAGGCCGTGTTTATACAGCATTAAACTCTTGATCGCGACGCGCCTTCGACTAGACTGTGACTCGGCACAACACATGGAGTTGAGTGATACATGGCGCGACTCGGATGCAATTGATATTTGATGATCCAATCTCTGTCGCGTCACGGTCTGTGCTAAGACTCTGTGCTCTAGACTTTGACTCTCGACTCTTGATCAGTCTTGTCTTGCTTAGTACAGTGAACGGACAAAAACTATTTCATCTTTAAAAAAGGTGGTATTTATTAAGAATAAAAGCTTTTGGTTGGCTATAATGATTCCTAAAGAGGAAGCCGTGAAGCTTGTGGAATTTGTAGAGGCTTGGCCATGCCTTTGGAACCTGAGGAATGTCTTTCATGCCAACAAAAATGTGACCGACAAAAACTGGAAGGAAGTTGCAACTGAAATGAAAATACCTGGTAAGGTTTTTTTTAATAAGCTTTTATTATATTTTAAATTTATGGAGAAAAATTAGACCAAACATTTTCAACGCTGTTTTTAACGAGAGCGAAGGAGGTGACAATAATAATGATCCCGTCTCTCCCATGTCAGATGTACCTGAAGAAGACGAGGCTGTCTCTCCCATGTCAGATGTACCTGAAGAAGACGAGGCTGAGAGCCAGCTCATGGCTGGAAATGAAAATCAGGAATCCGGAAACATTGCAGAACCAAACACAAGTAATACTACTGACTTCCGGAACAACACAGAAAGACCAAATCGCAAGAGAAAGGACCCTGTTGGTGATGCAATAATCGATTACTTGGCAAATAAAAAGAAAAAGGCCTCTGACACACCGAAACCGGAGTATGATGGAGATGAGACATTTCTCCTTAGCCTAAAAGATGACATGAAAGAAATGACCCCCTCTCAAAAAAGAACCTTCAAAAGACGAATTTTGGAAGTTGTTGAAGACACTCTGCAAGAAAAGAGCTCATCATCATCCGGAACTTTTCGTCCAATTTCAGTGTCGACGCCACGAAGTACTACACCAGGACAGTACTTGCCACCACCAGATGATTATCAACTCACCCCATCACTGCATGTCCAACAGCAACCGGCTGAAAACAGAAACTCGCCCCCAGCAAAAATACATATTTCGAGTTGAGCAACTTCCAGTGAATATCCTGATAAATTCTAAGAAATCCACTTCTTCCCAATAATTTTTAATTGTCATATTTTGCGAACGCACTATCGTCTTTTTATGTCTCCGTGCTAGAAAATAGTCTGTCAAAAAGTTTTAAAAAATTCCACTGTCAAAAATGTGACAACGTCCTTCTTTATACTGTTGATTTAACCTGTTGTAACTTGAAAAAATAAACAACTCTTAAAACTTACCTGAGCCTTATAATCAATTTTGCTCCAAGAGTTATAGCTTCCGTCCAATTTGTGTTCTGCTTTTCAATTAGGGGTGCAACTTTTTCCAAAAGACAGTCAAAACTTTCCACACTCATGCGAGAATAATTAAAAAATTTATCAGGGAATTGACGCATTTCTAAAAAACTTAAATACTGACTTTTTCTAATATTTTCTGTATTGAAAGGGTGTTCACTATAACGATGAAAACGACGATGCTTATTCACCGCCCACACCAAAAGAACGTCTTCTTCGTTGGATGAAGACATGATGCACTGCTACCATGACGCAACAGTATTGTTGATAAAATAAAATTGAATCGCGAGGGAGTTTAACCCTGTATAAACACATGCATCAAATCTCTGTCAAGCCGCAGTCTCGGATCAAATACGTGCAGGGGCGTCGCGATCAAGAGTCAAATGCTGCATAAACACGGCCTAATAACCTATATGTATTTCTGAACACAAATCTAAGCTCTAACAATTGATGACTCATGCCATTAATATCAATTTAATTTGTTGTCAATTAGGTGGTAAAGTTATAAGCTGGGTGGATGGAGAATTTGAGAAAGAAAAGTTGCTTGATCCTGAATTTCTCATCATGAAACCAGCGCCTAATGAATCTCAGGTTGAGGCTCAGTACCTTGAACTCTTGAGTAAGTTATTTGATTACCACACTGTTAATCAGTGATAATATTCCCCGTCAATAAACTATGAGGTCAATTATCACCATTTTACTTTCAATGTTCCTTTTAGAAGGATGCAAGTATTTTGTATGCAATGTCAGGGGTGCAGAAACTCCCCAACTATGTGACCAGACAGGTCAAATGCTGGTCTCGTGAATTAGAGGAACCCTTGCAAGACCAGGAAAAAACTGAGGATCTTCATGAAATCAGAATGGAAAGCGGGGGCGGGATGTAGTGCAAAATACAGCGTTTCAGTGATGAAAAGGTCTGATATTTTGTATAAAGAGATTTTCTTTGTCTTTAGGAAGAAGCTATCCTGAATTCTGTTTTGAATTTGAAGGAAGACTAGTTGTATGAGTCAGTTGCGCTCACAGAATTGTGTTTTGATGATTGATCCTTGCCGATTAACTAAAAATAATATCTGTCCAAACAGCAACTCTTTATGTTCAATATTAACAGGGATAACAGGGATATCATGCTTCGAAAAGTCAGCTATTTGACGTCATCCACTGGGGACGTAACCAGGGGAGGGCTTGGGGGGCTCCAGTCCCCCCCCCCCCNCCCCCCCCCCCCCTACTGCATCAATGATCAAACAAAAAGGAAGAAACCAAGGGTGTCACTACTGCGGTGGATGATGTCAAAAACCCGTCTTTTCAAAGCGCAATATCTCAGTTAATACTAAACGTAGGAAGTTGCTGTTCGGACAGATTTTATTATTTTCAGCTAATCTACAAGAATCAAGCATCAAAACACGATTCTGTGACCAGAACAACTGACCCATTGGAGATTGGCTTCCAACTTTCCGCACCTCTGCTTAGTTCTGTAAAAGATACTCACAACATCAACTGTTTTGTCTTGTTTGAAGCTAAATTTCATTTATCTCATCCTGCAAAAATGTTTCCTCAAAAATTCAGATTTCTTACTGTTTGCTCAACATTGCCTCCGTCAGAGTAAAGGCTATGCATTGATTAGCAACGTTGTGACCAGATTACACATTGTTAGGAAGGCAAATAATCTTCTGCAGTATGGTCAATCCGGTCACACAGCCCCCTCAGAAACATTTTCATGCGCCCTCGATCAACATTTACATCACTCTCTGAGACTTGAATTATTTGATCATCCGTCTCCCCTTCCTGTCTATTAAATGGCCGTTGATGGACAGACTTTCTCAATCAAATAAAATAAAGGACCACCAAACGAGGTAAGAATTTAAGCAATCTGATAAATGTTTCTCAACCAGAATTTCACGTTTAACACGATTCGCACAACGAAAATTACTGAAACCAACTTCTAACGAAGATATTAGCGTTTTTATTTCACATTGGTCACGAGGAATTTGAACTGCCCGCTCACATGAAATTCAAAGCTCTACGTGAGTCAAATCGTGCACAACGGTTTCAGCAAGCTTCTCAATCGAGCAATGTTCATTTCCCACCATGTGTTGTTCAAACTATTAGCAATTTGCTATAGCTGAGCCAAAGCGTCAAGATTGAGGCTGCCAAATTTTCATATCGCAGAAACTATCATGATGACGTTTAGCGCGCGATGTGAATCACATAGAGCATTGAGTTTTCATGAGCGGGTGGTTTGAATTCATGCATCAGGAATCATTAAATATCTTCGTAAGCAGTTAATTTCGGCAATTTTGATTGTGAGCATCAAGTTCTACGTGAAATTTTAGTTACGAAACATGTATCAGAATGCTGAAATTCGTACCTTGTCTAGTGGTCCATTAAGGTTGTACCTAGCTCAATAACATAGAATAATATTAGGGTATAGGCCACGCAGGAAAATACATATAGATAGAGTACGACAAAAAAATAGCTAGAGGGAGTTAGAGTTAAAGCTAATCTATACAATACCAATTCCAGTCCATATCGTAACCTCCAATTGTATCAGATCAATTTTATCTTTCAGAGTACCTCAAAGGCAATGAAATCCGAGCACTAGGTGAATCTGAGATTGGCATCAGTGTTGTATATTGCTCAACAGAGAAGTACTGCAACCCACGCTTTGACTTCAATTCAAATTTAATCCGAACAGAAGCAAGCGATGCAACACATCCCGAAGGGTCCTGCCTTGTTCCGGAGACTCAGGTGAGCATGGACATTTACTTTTTTTAAATGAGAGAATTTACAACTTTAACATACCTAATGTAAAAAACCCGGAGTCATATTTCAAAAATATGAAAAGAGGGGGCTCATCTAGGGACTATCACCCATTGACAGCAGCAAAATCATGGAAATCGGTTCAGTAGAACGAACAGTGACAAAAATGAAAATTTAGGGGATCAGAGAACTTACAGTAATGATTGTTATGAGGGCTGTCAAGACTTGAACGTGCACTAATAGAGACTTTCTCAACCACTTTTTGAAATCTCATTTTCTCTTCACTGAAATGGTTTCAGAATGCAACTAAGGATAGCAGAAGCGTGGATCGAATGACCATTCCAGAAAGTGATCCTCTGCCAACACCAGTTAATAAATCGAGGTGAGTCCTGTTTTTGTCATGTAATCATCATCCTCCAGTTGTATTCAAAAGAATGGTGACGCAAGAGGCTGGATAAACTTGCCAGTAGTTATCTTTCTCGCAGGGTTTTTTCAGTTGGTAGCACAGAAGTTAGCTGCTCCATCTAAATTATTTGCAGATCCTAAAATTTTACCAACCAGGACCCAGGAAAAATTATTCATTCATTGCATTGTAAAAGACAATGTTCTAAAGATTTGTCAAAGAAAGATGAACTCATTCTATAGTACTTAGAATTTCTTAGTTATCGCTGCACCTAGCCAATCTGACTGTGGTAGATGTGCATTCTCTTAAACATACATACATGCATACTTGTATCCGCCCACCGTGTTTTGGAAGAGATAATTAGGAAAACAGTACCCATGAAACATCTGTTTGAAAGAATGTTTTAGGTTTTTTTCAACGGAGGTCCAGAAAATTCCATGCATTCACATTAATCAAATTTCCTTTTAAGAAAGCCCCTGTTCCCCTGTGTTTTAAGTGTTATAAACTCTTAGGACCTCTTTTTCATAAAGATTTGGGAAGCCCAACATTTTTCTTCACAAAAAGTAGCAAGCTCAATGAATTTCTTTACTAAAACCAACTTGCTAGTCGGTCTCTTTCACTAAAATCACACTGCCTCCTGCTCTCAAAGAACTGAACAGAAAATATAGAAAAGGAATTGAAAAAAAAAACCTTCAACTGCTTTTGCAAACAATTTCTCGTCCTTGACTGCTTTGACAAAAAAGTGTTGAAGCACTCCAGCATATTCTGGACCCTTGGTTTTTTACTACAGTTTTTTGAAATGACAGTGTTTGTCTAGGACATAAATTTCAACAGGACATCATGTCTAAACAGACTCATTTGTTTGGTGTATGTTAAAAATAATTTTAAGATGTTTTTACGATGTAACAGGGAAATGCTAATAAAAAGTCTCATATCTCTTCTGAATGACGAATAGTTCAGAAATTATGAAAAGTTTCACCTATCCCTGTATTCCCATTTTTTTGAACAAGGCTTTTGTATTATCGTTAGAAGTGAATGGCCACAGGTATCCAAAAAATTTACCTAACCTCATGGAATTTAATTTGTACAAGCCAGATAATCATTTTTTGAAGGACACACTCAACAGTGAAATTTGAACGCTTGAAGTCCCTATCATACCAAAACACTTCTCTGGTACTTCTTTTTATCTTATTCATATTTTCAATTATTTTTACGGATGCATTTTGGATGTTAGATTGCTGAGAACAAATTACATGAAAGAAATTTGATTATTTTAGGAGCCGTCTTATCGATGACATGGATGAAGAAGACAGTGAAAAATCGAAAACTGAATTGGACTCAACATCCAAAGTGGACATTTCTAGGGATTTCTTTGGGAGCACAGCAGATTCAAGACCATCAACCTCTGGAGCCGATTCCTCATCCAGGAAACGCCCATCTGAGCTCATGGCGAATGATGACGATGCGGATATCTTTGATTTTGGTAGTCTGTCTAAAAAAGTAGAGTCCACCACGTCTGCAAAAAGTCTATTCAGCAATGTGGATGAAGATGGTGCAACAAGAACATCAACAGGCAGCTTAAGTAAAAAACCACGCTTGTGTATTGAAGATCCTGATGATGTATTCAACCTGCCTGATAGGACAGCGTCCAAACGGAAAATACAAGGTGTGTACAAATTGAAAAAACATGACTCGTTGATTAGATTTTAAATTGAGTGAGTTTTGCTCCGGACACCTTGTAGACTTAGAGGAAATAAAATATGTAGGACGTTTTGAAAATATTGAGGCATATTTCTAAATGAACAATACTTTCTTAAATCCTCATTCAAGAGCTATTTTTTCCAATCTCTATTATTGTGAATTTCATCCTTTGATGACTCAACTCCGAAACTGTTGTTGTGGCCTGTTCTTCATGTTTTTTTTATCATCTGACGACTTGCTTTATTATTATTATTTAACCCAAATAAGCCAAGTACGTGTAGTTAAGGTGTCGGTGCCACGGTCGGGCTGTGCTGTTTTGCCAATTGTTGGAGGATAGGTGACTCGCCTGGATGTGGCTACCGTTGCTCATAATATTTATTTTATTGTTTTAAACTTCTAATTGACCAAATCCTCCTTTTATTTTTTTTAGATGATGATTCCACATTGGAAAACTCTGGGAAACGTAGAATATCACTTTTGGACAATGATATTAGTTCCGAATCCTGTAAACGACGAGTGTCTTTGTTGGATGATGAGGTTGATGCTGGGAGTGGATCTGAAGCAAAACGATCTCGCCTTGATGGCTTGGAGTCAAATCATCGGCCACCTCCATCGACGATGTCTCAAGAAATGCGCAACTTAAATGAGCAGATGAAGGATGTAGGATTTAAGTCAAGGCCGCTGCCCATCAAGGTTGTTATTCTTTAAGTTCTATCAATTTGGCATTTTCACAAATTTTATCTAAGATAGTAGAATTTTGCACGTATAATAATAAAAAATAGAGTGAGAGCGAAAGAAAAAAGTTACAAGGCAAAGTCTTTTGCTGAGCGTTTCACCTTTTAACCCCTGCTCCTCCCTCTTTACCAAATTTTTCTGGGAGACTGAAATTGAGGGGAAAATGCCTCTTAGTATACTTTTTTAAAATTCTAAAAATCAGAAAAATTCAAAAGGAGACAAAGGTCAATTGGACGTATTTATGATAAAAGGAACTATGTGCATAGGGTTTGCGTGTAATTTAGTTCCTTTTATCATAAATACGTCCAATTTTGCATCATCCTCCTTGTACATCCTTCTTTTGCCGAACTTAATCTGGTAAAAGGAGGATTTACTCTTTCAATCTGAGGACAAGAGTAAAATCTGGATTACATTTTGCAAAAAGAAACCACTATCTCTGGCTCTTCTGTAAAAGCACTTTTCTGCATATGGAAACCAATGGCATGTATTTTGTGTCTCAAATGAGCCGTAAATAGTAGTTCCTTATTGCAAAATGTGGTCCATCTGGTTTTAGTCAAGAATACAGAGTATGTTTTGTTCTGCTACCAATGAATTTTGGATTGTCTTCAAGCTGTAGGTCCAATCGGTAGACTTGTTCACCAAGAACATTTTTACCTACTTTCATCTCTAACTTTTTACAAAAAAATTCCCTCATTTCTTTTGATTACCTATGTATCAATATCTAGTCAATAACTCCTGTTTTTTTCTCATTTTATTTTGTAGATCAAAAAAGAAGATCCATCGGAGGCAGAAAATGATCCTTATGTACAAACATTCCTAAATAAAGCTATTGTCGAAACCAGAGATTTGATGCCTGTTCGAGAAGAAAAACCAGCAGAAACGCAGCAAAGTGATGAAGGTCCAAATTTCAAGAAGTTTAGAAAGGTAATAACTGAAATCATCTTTGAATGTATTGGTAAACTCCAGCTAAGAACATTAAATATGTTTGGCGTGTTTCTTATCTGATTTGTTTTCAGTCGAAACATTGTCGAGTCTGCACAGGAATTCATGCAGCAGTGGGGTTTTCTGTGGTTCTTCCTTTTTTTTTGGGGGGGGGGGAGGAGATTGACTGCTGGATTGCTACTTCCCCTATCTTATTCGACCTCAGATATTTTTTATATTGCCAGAAACAGCAGCCAGCGCCCCTTTTTTTGTGTCACCCATTAATCTTTTCGCTAGCTGACTCATAATTTCAATTCCTTAGGGAGGTTTAAATGCAAATCCCTCTTTACATGTTGATGGATGCTGCTAATTTTATATTTTATATCTTTTCATTCGAAAGCCATGCCCTTTTTTTCAGCTACTTTGCAGACACCAAAATTAATGAAAAAATTGAGTGAAGAAATAATGGCAAAATAAGGAGGTCCATGCCTATGTCGCTACTAGTTGCTTTTCCCTGTTAAATGAGAGTTTAATATAAATATATAAAAATTACCTCAGTGAAAGATATTTAATCCAAGTTTTATTTTTGTATCTTTGTAAATCCTTCATCCCTCACTGCCCCTTGCGTTATGTGTGTCACTATCTTCAATTACCATTTTATTATTTGCTTCAGAATCAAGTATGCAGAGCCAATGTCACAAGAATCATCGGCAGGAATGCCCTTCGACCGTTCCAGTTGCAAGAAAATCACGATATTTGGGGAAATCTCATTGAAGAAGAAAAACAAGATCATTTTCCTGGTTTTGATCAGGGATATAACTCGCACTCTGCTCTATTTAGGTAAATTGAAATTTTTTCTTCTTCAAAAGTTGCCAAGGATTCAAAAAATTGTCACTTTTTGCTCCAATCTCTAGCTGCTGCAACTTACTAGTGTTCTGTCATCTTGTTGTCTTTAGAAATTAGTTGCCATTTTTTGCTGTTACATATTAGCATTGAAAAAAGTCGAATTCAAATCTTTTACAGTTGCAGTAGGTTTATCTCCTTGCGCTATGTGAATTTGAGTCTTTTACGTACAACAATAAATTATGCTTATACTTTTGTCACAAACATTTTTAGGAGAAGTTTTGGTGCACTTATTCAAATCATATACTGAAAAAATAAAGTAATCATTTTTTTTTAATTGTGCACTCTCCTTTTTTTCTTCTTTTCTTTTTCCTCTTTTTTAAAAGAAATTTACATCTTCATTCTTCACAAACGTATCTCTAACTGTTTATCCTGTATGGTGAATTGCAAAAACCGATACTTTAAAGAATTAATGTAAACTTATCTTGTAAGTGCCAGAAAATTACAATGAAGTATAGTTCATCATTAATATTATTTTTTCAGGCGTGGTCGAGGACGATAAACACACTGTGCAAGATGATTCCAGTGGTCTCATAATTTTTCATCTCTGGTGCAAGGAATGAAGTGTAGAAGAGGTATTCGTGTTAAATAAATTCAAGAATATCTATTTAATAGATGTTAGATCACATCACATATTTAAGAAGAATGTCTTTTTAACAAGTTCTATGTATCTCCATCCACAACATCAAGAATATCTGTTTTGTTGGATGTTGTTGCTCTGAGCGGATTGTTTTTACCCTCTTTTGTTTCTAATCCGTCTTTTTTTCTTAAATCATATGCTTCTCTGTTATTTATTTATCTTTTATCAAAAGTGTGTCTCTCAAATTCTGTTCAAATTGTGTTTTTGCTGTCCATGGGTCAAACCAAATTTGATGTTAGTGAAAGTGATGATTTTCTTGTCCCCTCTTCAAATAAATTTGTGCGATAGGAAGACAGGGAGGAAGAAAAAATATCTAACATGTGGCCCAAACTGTAAGTGTGTACAGACCCTGAAGATGTGAAGAGATACTTTTTGCCTATTGTACATGGAAAGTTTCTTATTTTACCATTGACTGAGTTTGTCTCCAAAATTTTAAGTTCCCCCCTTAAACTTCGCTTTGTTACTCTGCATATGATAATAATGCAATATTAGTCATCACAAATTTTGAGGGGTTTTCCCATAATTCAAAACTGCATATTCATTTTATCCTATCTGAAATGAATGCTTCTCTCATTTTATACAACTATGTTTTAATCATAATTTGGCCCAATAGCATTGTGTAAAATCCAAGTCTTTTTATTCCATTTTGGTCAATTTTTTGGTAAGTTTCTTGAATGAATTCACAAACAATCTATTTCAAATCAGTCTTCAGTTTAATGCAAAAACACATTTTTTTGTAAACTATCTAAATGAATTTTTAAAGTCAGATGTTTTATACAAAATTGTCTTTTTATTCCAAATGGAATATTAAAATTTTTTTCTTACATTGAACAAAGCAAATTCTTTCTTTTCGAACGTAAAATTGATCTCCATTTAAATCCCTCTTTATACTAGATTCAATTGATTCATCATATGATTGCTCAATCACTATCTTGCAGCCAGAGAATCTTCAAAACACTACCGCTTATTTTAAAGATCGCTTGCTCGAGTTGAAAATTTTAGATTTAGAACTTACCCTGATTTCTTTTCAGATTTGTCTAGTCTTATCTCTATTAATTTGACCACAAAATATCATATTGATTTCAACTATTTCCATTAAGAATTCAATTTTTAACTGGGATGCCACTCTCAGGATGCTTAGATTATGGGCATGAAGTTTCAGATTTCATCGTGACACTTAACGTTTATAAGAACATAGACCATCCAAAGAAAAAGATCGCAACATAACCCTGTTGTGGCAGCTAATGAGCTGATGGTGAATTTCTTCCACTATAACTCCATCACTTTGAGTTCTGCAACAAATCCAAAATGATAGAAAAAACTTTGTAGGTAGATGAAAATTATTTTATAGATAGAACCTACTGTCGTATGATGAGCCAAGTGTCCAAGCCTAACGAATACCCACTAATGGAGACATCGCAAACATATTACTGAGGAAGTCAAGCCAACGAAACAAGGCAAGTCTGTGGCTATGGTGGAAGTAGACAATCCATTGATTTGGTCATTCTCAAAAAGACTGAAGTGCCAAAAATTGAAACGCAAGAAAAACAGTAAAGATTTTTTTGATCAACCTTTTTTAAATCTTAGATGAGGTAATAGCATGATTAATCAGTGTAATGCCTTAATATTTTGGAGCTATGAGATATAGAACGAGTCAATTTAAAAGTTTTTTGTATTCGTTGTACTTCTTTTAATTTTGGTGCTCAAGTCCTTTTGAGAATGACCAATTCAATTGTTTTAGGAGACCGCTTCTCTCTATCGAACAATAATTGAATGAGCTTGACCTCACTCCACATTCCCTCTTTTCGTGGGATAAATTACTACCTACAAAAAAGTCTCACAACTTCAGTACCTATGCCCTAAAAATGATTGGGTACATGGAATCCTCTAGGAGATTTGATCTTTGCATTTTTTTACTCTCTTATTGAACCTCTACTGTAATGTTATTTTTACCAGCAAATGCTGGAGACTTAGCATACAAGTTTTGAATATTGATGGGCCTTATTTCCCAAATCTGCTCAATTCATCTCATTTTTTTTTTTTTTNTTTTTTTTTTTTTTTTTTTTTTTTTTTTTTTTTTTTTTGTAGCACCAGGTCAATCATTTTAAAATTAGCCCCAATAAACACTAGAGTCTGATTTCACGCTAACTAGACTCAAGCTGTAATGAATTAAAAAATCCCAATTCTTCCTATGAATTCGAACTGCTCTTAGGTTTGATTTTACACCGTACAAAGACAGAGAGGCCTAATTTTGACGTCAACAATTAAACTTCAGAATCTCTGCTCTGGATATGCCCCGGCTTTTTCAGAATCGGACTAAATTCCGATTAATTAGCACTTGGAGATTAGCTTATCCTAAATAGCTTCATTGAATAATACGATACACACCTAACAATTTTTCAATGGAGAATCTGTACACAAATTTAATATTGTTTCATCTGAAAGTGCTTAAGTAAAGAGCTGATCTCACAGTATTTGTCAAAAATTTTTTCTGATATGGGAAATGGTATAAAAATAGATTTAAAAGTGAGAAAATACACCGCCAAGTGACATCATCTGGCGGCATTTTCCATTTAAATACACACATTTTAGCAGATTAGATAATTTTGTCATATCTTCTCCAATAATTGTTCAATTCATGAAGCAAGGGTATCCCAGTGTTCAGTTCATCCAGTAGTTTCCACTTAAACACGAAATTCATCAAATTTCAGACACCTGCAAATTCTCTATTTGGTCCATTGCAGTTAAATCAGGTTGGGAGTGAGAGTAGTCGTTCCCTAAACTTTACGTTAGTAAATCGACTACAAATTCGATCCTTGTTATCAGGTATAAAATTCCGACCCTTTCCTACCTTATGAAATTCTTCTTGCAAAAAGGATCCTTACTTCCTCATCCCAAGAATATTACCTTTCAGGGATCATGATGTCAGAATCGTTGGCAACAGAAGAGGAACAGCATACATTTTCTGACGAAACGACAGCTCTGTTTTCTTGATGGATTTTCTCTAGTATGTTTTCCAAAGTGAAAATGACCCGAGTAAGTTCTTTTTTAACTTGCGGGTCACAAGGGAATGAAACCAAGCCACGCCTGCAACCTGGAGCACCTTATTGAAAGGAAGGAGTTGTAATTTAGTTTAGAACTACTTCTTGATATTATGATTCTATTGCTCTTCTCTCTTCCACAAAAACAGGCATTATTGATGATAAGGTAAAATTAAGAGGCGGGTAAGCTAGTTATCTCATTGAAGGTGGGAAAAAGGCCTAAGTTTGTACCTAACTACTCATTCCATTTTATTTTCTCAGTTATTGATTTCCTGACCTAAAATCAAATGAAAGTCTCAATTCATTGGTACAAGGGCGGACTTTGAAGTAAGTTTACCAATTTATTTTTGGAAACATCGACGCTGAGATAAAAACCAAACCAACGTCGAAATGAACATTCTATCAGCTTTCTAGCAAACTGCCTATCAATTTTTGTATTGAGTCCAGGTGTTGCACAAAAATCATGGATTTTCTGCAACCGCATCTCCTTCAAACTTCAGAATTTCACCATCGAAAAAAGGAACACATGAATAGCAGTTTTCAGGCAAAATAATTAATTCTTCATTTTTAAATTCACCTCTTTGACCTTGCAAGGTTTAACAATAAAGGCATAATGATTTGACTTACACCCTCTTGGCGCGTTCAGAACAAATTTCATTTGTTACCTTCGCACCTCAGTTAGTGCCTTAGGGTTGATATCAAAGCAGATGAACACTGGTGGACGCATTTAGATTTCAGCTGACATCTTAGAGACTAGTGATGCGCAGAGGTACAGGCTTTGCCGTGCAATTAAATGTACTGGATGTCAAGAATACAAAATACAGCCACCTGTGTGTATCACCTTGGATAGATATGGCGAGAATGGATAGTCTTCAGCATTCTTATTACGTAACTCTCACATCTAGAAATAAAATACCTCTCAAGGTGAAAATTGAAAATATAAGAAATGCTTCTGAAACTTGTGTTTATTGTGAGATTTTTATCTTTCATCTTTGAATTCAGTGAAATCTTTCCATGGAAATTTAAAAAGAATCCCTCCAAAAGCAATTGATTTTTTATTATAGGGAGTTGAATTTCACAACATACTATTGTACTAACTGATTAAAATGATGAGGAATAAAATATGGGGAAGATTAAATAGTGAAAACCTTGGGTGTCTTGCACAAGCTCCCACTGTCGCAGTGCATCCATCAGAGGTTTGTAAAATTGTAACTTGTCTGACTGAATAATAAGGTCATCGATCATTTCTTTTTCTTCAGCATCCAGTACAGTCCATCCCAAAAAAAGTTCCTTCAATCGTTCCTCTGTCATCAAGTAAGAATTCACAAATAAATAGACTTACCTTAAAATTCGCGAGTTCTTCTGGTCTAATTATTAAAACCAATTGGACGTATTTCTGCCAAACAGAGCTATGTGCATTAAGATATGAGCCCCGAGACTCATAAGAATACATGCATGGCAGGGCTCACATCATAATGAACATAGTTCCGTTTGGCAGAAATACGTTCAATTCAAATATTAAAAATCAGTAATAACACTTGAAAGATACAAGGCTTCACACTTTATTTGAGGCCCCAAGTTCCGAACTTGGCAATCTCCATTGCCCTGTCCAAAAACTGTGCGATCATTATAATTTTAAAATTGGAAGAGGAAGGAAGCCTCTACATTCATGTCATCTCGTAAATTTTCTGTAATCAATAGAGAAAATTTGGAACATTTTAAAAACCGCCACACGTTTTGGTTGTCCCTCACAGAAAATGAATGTGATTGCACGATTTTTAGACAGGGCAATGGACAAGCAATGGACAATGTAAATGCATCCATGCATGGACATGCATGGATGGAGCAATGGATGGGCAATGGGCAAGGTTTGGGACTAGGGACCTCATTTCATGGTTATCCAAGGTATTTAACCTCATCCTGCATAATTCAACCATTACTGATATCGTTACACGAAGAAATTTAGTATTTTTAGTGGGGTTGAGGTTCCAAAAAAGATGCTTTGGTAGCATTTAAAAACAATAAATAAAAACATTTTATCAATAAATAAGCAGACTTTAAAGCAGTTAACCTGATCAGAAATATAGGCTTGAAGGAAGAAAAAATTAGGTATGACTGAAAATAGGAGAGAAAGGGGGTACCTTCAGGGATGAGGTGATAAATGGCTTCATATATTTGCTTGGCTAAACATGGGTTTAGCATTGTTACAAGAAAAAGCTGAGGACTGTAGATTATTCTAAGCTTGAATTTTATGACAGCATAACCACAATGTTGAAGATGTAAATTACCTCAATTCAATCATATGTTCAATTCCTTCTGATAGAAACAGAATGCATCAACTCAGAGGATTTTTCAATTGCAGTGCCTTTCTTCTCCACTCCGATTTGAGTGGCCTGAAACTTATTTTTTTTTATCTATTCAAATGCCTAAAATTAATTCAAGGTGATTCTCCATCCAATTTTTTTTTCCTTTCCGGTTTTTTGCCCTGTGATGGGGCTTTGGCCATAGAGAAAAATAGTTGACTTAGCCCCATCTGAAGTTGACCTTCATTCAGGTCATTGAGGAAACAGTAATTGAAGCACTGGGTGCAGAAAGGGCATTTCTTAGTTGCAATGCCTCAAAAGCTCCGCTAACGTTTCATCCATTTTAAGTCAAGCAAACATATGCAATTTGTTGGAACTTCCACTGAATATTCTTTGCGATTTTTCAGTACTGAAAATGTAAAATTGCAGAAAATACACTCAATAGTTTCCTCTCTAAAATAAAAATTAGCACTGGAGATTCTACGGCCTTGTCCACACGGACCCAGTTAGAACAAATTAGTTCCATAAACTTTGTGTTCCAGGAACAAGTTATAGCTGAACAATAACTAGTTCCTGGAACAAGTTCGCCCGAAGTTTCTCAAACCACGCTCAAGTGCACAGGGCCTAAAACAACACAACTAAAAATGCTCTTCCTGCACCCAACGCCTCAATTCGGAGGCTTGAAATTCAGAATGCTGTGTTTTAAAGATCAAGTGGTATTTAGCATCCTTTAACTCAATCCTAATGTTTCACACAGTTAAAGACTGGCGCTAAAGGCAAGTGTTAGGAGCAATTATTCAGTCGCTTTACAATGATTATGAAAGAATTCACTTTTGATCTTGAGTTGATTGGAGATATTAGGATCCACACAAAAGCAAATCAATCTTTTAACCTCATTGCTTTGTTAACTTAATGATGTAGAAGCACCGGTGATAGGTATCAATACTTCAAATACATAATTTCAGGAGGAGACTAGATTTTTCCCCCGATTTCTTAGTAGCAAAATGATGCCTTTTGGCAATACAAATCCGAGGAATTCCTACATTTGCTGCTAGGCAAAACATCTTGCGGAAAAGCAAGACAATTCTGGTTTCTTATTATGCTCTTTCAAGGTGGCAGCAAAAACAGTGTATTTTGAACACTGACTTCAAGGATAAACAGCTTTGTAAAGCGCACCAAAAAACCAATTGAAAAATTTCAAAACGTTAGTTTATCAGTTCATTGAGACCACCTTTTTCCAATTTTTTCTGACCAAAATGACAAAAATGAAAAAACTGCTGATACCTAAACTGAGAAATTCCAACTGTTACTTCGATCTGTAACTTGAAACTTCTCAGTTTTTCTATTGAAGGTTTAGATTCCTGGAAATTATCACAAACAGGAGAAATTAATGTTCAATTGAAGAATTAAAAGCCAGTCTGTTTCATAATAAGTCATTTTGATTTGTAGACGCTAATAGATTCGTGTAAATAATTCGATAATATGCCTTCTTTCAATTGCTAGTTACCTTTCCCTAATTTCGCATATTATGATTGCACACTGATAACATGCGCATCAACTACTTCCAGATTGAAATTGACCAAAATATACATGGCTGAGAATTAATAGTAAAATTTTGCAAAGGGCCTCTAGAAAACATAGTGAATAACATGTTGCACAGTGATTTTTCACTGTGCAACATGTTATCTCTTAAAAATCATGCGTAGAAAACAATTTATACAAAGGTAAGTCAGGAAATCATCGCATGAACAAATAAATGTGTTTAAAATCAACATTGGTTAAATGGAAAAAATAAAAATGATGTCACTACATAATACAGCTTCAATTTGTTATGTGTTACGAATATCTGTTGATATTGCATTGGAAATTTTATTGTCAAACTTCCTGTTGTGTAAATCATTTTCTACGTAAGATTTTGAAATGAAAATATGTACCTATTCCTACTCCTTTAAAACTTGCTTAGTAGCCCATCACTGAGGCTTATACAGGCTGCTGGAGAAAAATAAAAAGAAGTGATTTACGTAAAAAAAATACGGTCCAAATATATTAACAAGAAACATTTTACTTAGCAGCTACTTCCGGCTTAGCGGGTTTTGGTTGACTTTTTCGAGCTAAGGCCTTTTCTCTCCTCTTAAGTCCACGTTTCTTCATCTCTTCCTTGTTCTTCTTCCTGAATTCAGCCAATTTGGTTTTGTCCATGCGTGTGACCTTTCCTGCTTTCTTTGCTCGCCTGTACTGTAGGATGCCTGCAAGTCTCTTCGGGTGAGCCTTCAATTTCTTGAAGTAGGTTCGGAGGATGTTGTTGCGTTTACTCTTGATCCTCTTTAGTTTGTAGTGGTCAAAGTCGTTCATTGATTTCATCTGGAAATAAAGTAAAGAAATGTTGACTGATTCCTTGGATTAAGAAGCAAACACAGAAAGAGAATCTAAAAAATAAGGAAATAATTTATATTTTGAGAAAGTTTTTTTTTCTTAAAAGAGAACTTCAAGTTCATGTTTAATAGTAGTTTTATCTTGACAGATTAAAAAAGAGCCATGGTAATGGAAACTGGAGAGATTTATTGGCAATTGTGAATTAGGCTTGGTGTCAACAACAGAGTGAATTTGGCGATTCGATTCCATGATTTGAAGAAAATAATAAAAATAAGTGAAATTTCAATGGGTCAATTAGGTATTTCAAATGAGTTCTTTCTGTTACATTGGAGCAACCCTTGCTATCTTAAAATGCAGGGGAAACAACTGATGAGCACTGAAAATGAAAAAAATGAGAGGCAAGAACAGGGGAAATAGCTAACTTACATGAGATAACTAATTGGAATTTCATACCTCTAGTTGATTTAAATACTTAGAAGTAGACACCAAATGAGATGCTAGTGTGGAGCAATAGGCCTGTTGCAAAGTTTTGCTAGAGCAAAAATAAGAGTTGTTCTTCTTGGATGATGTCTCAAAATCACGATGAGCGCATCTGCAAACTCTGAAATGCACTCCTAACTTCAAAAACGGCATAAGAAATTTGCGTCTTTTAAAGCTTCCCGCTTCAAAAAGGATTCTACAGCACAGGTAAACATTTCGTTAGAGGAGTCATTCCTTTCGATCCATGCACACATGGTCGACGCTTCATCAATGCGAGAAAAATGTGAATGTAAACACGCAGATTGTTATTAGGTGGTTAGAATCATTGTCTTGTCACATGTGTTTTGGCGGACTGGCGTCGGCTATGTTGAGTATTGCATAGTGTCCTTGTGAGCAGGGGTTGGATGGAATGACTCCTCTGACGAAATGCTCACCTGTGCCATGGTATCGTTTTTGAAACAGGAAGTTAAAAAAAACGCAAATTTCTTATGCAAATTGTGAAGTAAAGAGTGCATATCAGACTTTGCTGATGCGCTTACCTTTATTTATGAAACACTCTCTGTGAGTAACAACTCATATTTTTGCTCTAGCAAAAGTTTGCAATAGGCCCATTGAGATGAAAATTCCGTTTTTCAGATCTTAAAATTCAAACACTTTAAAAGTTAAAAAAAAAGACCTTTGCCGATCAAGAAGTTCAGTTTCGAACGTATGCCGTAAAAAATATCAAAAAAAAAAAAAAAGGTAAAAAAGTGTAAGGTTTTGTTCATTTCGGCAGTTTAAATTGTCATTTGAGACTCAAACCAAAATGCAGAAAATATGCTTCCTTTTTATGTAGTGCTAGCAAATCCACAAACATCATACCCACTTTGAGCCCCCAGAAAACGGATTGCCTACTCTAAGAAAAACTCTAGTTGTTTCGATGCAAACAAATACGACAGACTGAAAGTACCTTCTTAGCTCTTATTAAAGCACGGCAGACTCCAGTTTTGGACCATTGCCTGTCAATATCTGCATCAATCCAAGCTTTCTTGACAACGTCTCGTTTGGCAGCCCGAGGAATGTCGATTTTTAATCCCGTTAAGTTGAGATGATCCATGTATACAGGGATGCGTGGAACTCCGGTCAAAGGTCCATCTACCAAAACCTAAAAAAAATAACAGTAATAATTAGTACAGCATTGGTTACTTTAATAAAACCTATGATTATGACCTAATGGTAGATACCATGATATACAAGTTAACAAGGTCAAAACTTACATCTATTTAATTTTTCAATTCCAACGAGTTGCCCCAATAACAAAACAACGGGAAAAATAGAGACCAAGTATATAGCCAATTAATTGCAAAGAAAAATAATAAAAAAAAAAAATGGCTCAGACTTAGATTGCTAGGCATGAAAAAAAGAAAAAAAATATGCGAGAAAGCATAATGAAAGATGCTAAATTACAGAATGTATGATTGCACCTTGCGCCAGTGCTTGACAAAATGAGGGCATAAAAGAGACATTTATACGGAGACAGATTTATCATAATACATGCAAATGTAATTCTTTTGTAAAAAATAACAAAGGCTAGAATTAGTTGTATAACATGGACTTATAGAAGTGATTTAAGAATAAACTGTTGGTATTACTAAAATGAAAATGATGATAGATCTTGTGTATGCTCAAAAAAAATTAACTAAAAATAAGTTAGTAAACGTAATTTAGGTGTAGTTTCTCAAAAATAACTCAGTGAATAATATCAATATTTTTTTGTGGAAGGTCATAACTGATTTATTGGTGGGCAGAGTAATCTTTAGTCAAGTTCTATCTTCGCTGACTGATAGATTGATTTTAATCATAAAATTCTATTTTGAATTCTGGCCTGAATGCTGGTGCAACTAACCCAACTTTTAATATTGATGCCTGAGTTGGTATTGACGACTGATTGATCCATTACTGCTTCTTGATATTCAAATTAATGCCAAAGAAAATGCTCCATCTAAAGCTTTCCTTGAGGGTATCACAATTAAAGTTCACATAAAATTAAATTGTTCGGAGAAAAAGATGAGAGTAGACTCACCCATATTTCAGAGATTATGTCTACGATGGCGGCAGTCTTTCCTCTGTAGTGAGGTCCGGTCAAAAGGATTACACGGCCAACTTCTACGAATCTATTATACCTCTGCAAAAACAGGAAAAAAACGCATGAGACACAGGAAAGTACAACTAAAATTACTGACATTCATGGCATGCCCGCACAAAACCAGACATCTATTTCTAGATTAAAATTTCAACACAAGCAGAGGTACTGAAAAATGGATAATACCTTCAGTTTTCAAAAGAGACAAAAACGTAGAGTAAGTGGTGCTGAGCAAAATCAAATACCACGATGAATCAAAATACTTTAAGAACACCATCTATGGATACTAAACTGCTATTAACTTATACACTAAATCTTTAAAAGCATTTTGACAGTGATCGGATCATGGTTGATTATAGGTACAGTTCAAAGTTTAGCTTCTATATCTGTAAGAGAAAATCCAGAATGGGCAGTTCTGGGTGCAGGGTTGGTTAAGGGCATATTCGAGACAGAAACTGTAACAAAGTGATAACATAATCATCTGGAATCCTTCTAGGCTTTTGAGATTCACTCTTGTTTCCCTGTAAAATCATGTCACTTTGCGGCTAATGTAGCTGATGGATGAGGATGGACTGGGGACAAAGGCATCTGTGAATTATGGGAAAATATGTTATTTCCTAGACCACAAATGTCGATGATTCCTTGTTTTGACTATGGGCAGGCATTAACAAGACTAAAATTAATGAAACCATCAATTGTTTATTTCCAACAGTTAGCTCTCTCTTTTAATTCCTGTAAGTAGTAGGTGTTGTATTGCTATTTACGGTGCTTGGTTACGCATGAGAGGCTTTCCAATAAAGCCCAGTCATATTGATTTTTTCACTATAATTGATTTTCTGAAATGACCACTGGGGTCCACTATCACTTCTCAGTATTTTTCCTGGAAATCTGAGAGAGAAAAGAGGGGGAAGAGTCCAGATTAAATAAAATGTGAACTTACAAAGCCTTTGCCTTCCAAAATCCTCCGCTTCGCACGGCTTTTCTTCACGGGCTTCTTCTGCAAAAAATGAAAAAAATAAGGTTAGTTAAGACAGATCAGAATATTCACAGACAACAAAGCAAAGTGAGGTTAGTAAAATCTTGCATCCTGGAATCAATTACTACAAGATGTGGAAGAATTACTTTCCTTCCTGTTTAACTTCCTATCTTCTTGAAAAGGCTTGTTACTTCTAGTAAGGTGAAAACAAGCCAAGATATTACTAAATTCAACTATAGCCAAAGCAAGAAACTGATTTTGGCTGGATAGAGCTGATCATGATCTGATTGAAAGTCAGGGGCAAATGCGCCTGCATGAACGATACAAATCATAGAAATATTTGGTTCATGGCATAATTTCAGACAAGTTTTAAGCTGGCAGCTCTATAGGCTATCATCATTACGAGTAGACATGACTAAACACTGGAACTCGCGTCAAGTAGGTTTGCAATTGTTGACTTTCTATCAAGATTGCGACTGAGCATAACTTCTGACTTCCTTGCCACTGTCTTACTTAATGAAGGATTGGCTAAAGGCAACAATTCTAAAATATGCAGAAGGGGGCGAATGCTACAATATGCAGAAGGGGGTGCAAGGTCTATAATCCTGCGCCTACCTATCAGAGATTAACATCCACCACTGAATAAGAAGTAAATTTAACTTGGACATTATCTACAGGCTAGAGCCAATAAGGCCACCGTGGAAGCTGTATCTAACACCTGTGCAAAACTTTCAAATTATTTCCGATTCCTTTGTCCTGGAAACGGCGGTTGGAAGAAGCATGTTCGCCCTGGGGCATAGGAAGTGATAGAAACTCTCGAAGGCAGACCGAGTGGATTACGGAGAAAAACTGTGAAGCCAAGCGTGCACGTCAAAATAAGTAAAAGGAACAATGCTGTGCCCTGTGGTTCTGCCCACTTTCGACTGACTCATAATTGCTAACTAATACTAGGTGGGAGACGGTCATGTCTCGAACTGGTCTCGGGCTTCAATGAGATAGAGCTCGACTCAAATAATCAAGTAACTTAAATAAACTTGAATATGTAAGGGTAAGCAAGTTTTCCTGGGAAGAAGATAAGTATTGTGGAAGATGGAAGCAGGTTTAGAGAGGTGTGCTGACATGACAGCATGGAGGTGCTGTTCCACTGAACTTGGGCATTCCGATACAGGAGAAATTCGTGGGGAGATAACGGGTTGTGAGTGAAAAAGTATTGGCTAAAGTTTCTTACCTTTTTCTCCTTTTTATCGGCAGGTTTTTTCTCAACCATGATTACTAAATTAAATTTCGAGAAACCGCGTGGTGAAACGAAAGCCTACGGCCACCTCAGAAGTAAAATTAACCTGCAAATGATGTATGACAACCGGAATTACACCAAACATCAGAATGTGCGAGGAGGTTGCCGCGAAATTTAAATATCACCGTAATGACCCAATATTATTTCTTGAATTTTTGGATTCAGATTTACACGAAAATGGTTCGAAAAATTTCGAAATTGATTGCAATCAACTATATTTTCAAAAACAAGGAAAAAATTGGACTATAAACCATTGAATTTTAAGTAAATTACAAACCGTTGTGACTATGGCGTTAAAATTCCTTTAGTTCTTGTCTTCTTCGCTAGGTTCGTTGAGGTCAATTTTCACATTTCAGCCAGAAGCATGGTTTTGTTTACATAGTAATAACTGATTGTCAATTCTAGTAAACTTCAAGGAAAATGATTTGAAAGTAAATTACACAGTTACGTTTTGTGCAAAGATTTTGTGATATCTCTTACTCTAAATTTTGCACCCAAGTTTGCTCTGTATAACTGGTCATCAATGAGTTCTACACCCGTCCGCAGCCCTGGAGGAGGCTCCTCAAAACGAAGAGAATCTTTCTCACCCATTATTCGTAAGATTTATGCTTAGATTTTTCCAATTTTATTATGGACTCACTGTGGATGCATTAAATTACCTGTGACGGAATATGGTCCCCTCTAACATGACACAACAAAGGACTCATCACAGACCGAGGACTATGCCATGTATCATATTTTTGGACAAAATTAGCTGAAGTTTATAAAGCTGAAGATGGTTGAAGACAAGGAGCGTATATCTACAATGAGGAAAGTGACAAGCCCTCCTTGAAATTATAAAATTTCACAAGATCAATACCCTTTGATGCACTGGCAGCATCCAAACAGGATCTATTTTGTGCTGCGTACTTGATGTAACTATCTTGCTAGAATGCGCGTCAAACAAGTTGGTAGTTGTTCATTTTTGACTGCAATACGCAGCAGACAGCATAATCTCAAATTGGCAGGAGGGGCACCTGCAGTCAATTTTCGATTGCTACTGGATGATAGCAACGCAGTTTATGTCAAACAGAAAGTAAATAATTGCCAACTTATCTGACGTAAATTCTATGATCAAATATTTTTCATCCAGCCTTCATGGGATGAGGACTTCAGTGGTGGTCTTGACTTGCTGAAAATTTTTAGAAATGCTCTTGAAAGAATTTTTTCAAAATTTTTTGTGTTTAATCCATGCAAAACTTTAATAAGTAGGTAGATGCTTAGTGTTGTGCTCAATTATTTAGGTGAACTACAGAATTTTATAGATCTACAAAGTAAGTAAATGCACTGTATTTGGCCTTTGATCACAGCATAGGTAATTGCCGTAATGATACTTTTTTGTAAATGTTTATATTCTACTCATCTTATATTTTTGCCTGATGTGCTTTCAGTTCCTGAAAGTCCAGTTACAAGCATGAAGCAGAAAGGAAATTTGACTGGAAATGCAAGGATCATACGGGATAATTGTGCCTCCATTTGTAATCTCAGTAAAAAATGGGATGTGAGTAACCAAGTAGGAGCTGACATAGTGATGAAGATTATCAACTTAAAATTAGAAGCACGGTAAGTTTTTCTACTTCGGTAAGAAAGATACAGAATTTCAATGAGCACATCAGTAACTGAAATCAAAGAGTATGAGCTCATCGCAAGAAGGAAAATCTCTGTGTTGTTCTATCTTAATTCTTTAAAAGAAAACAAATGAAAATATCCTGTCAAAAATTGTGGAACAAATGAAGAAAATTCACCGATAGTATCAAGGAAATCCATGATTTTGTTTCCTTTTACAGAAAACAAAACTGAAGGAGAGATTTGCTACAATGCAAACTCAAGCAGGTATATGCATTGTTTTGACTTTAGGCATTATGATTGTTAAAAATGTAGAGGCTTCTTTTTGTGAGGATTCCACATTAAAATTTGTGGATTTTTTGTTTCTTTGCTGTGCTGAAAATTTTCAAATGCATGATTCACTTTGTTTTTTGTCAAAAAGGAAAAGACAGCAGTAGATTCACTCTAGTTCATACTTGAAAAAACGGCGGGTGACTAGGGAAGTCAGTAATTAACTTGGGGCAATGTGTAAGGGTTGAAACTCAGGTATATCACTCCATTCCGAGGAAATTCGTTGAAGCCAATCAACCCCTGAATATTAGACCTAGCCACCTTTCTGTCTCTTCTTCTCACCTGCCACTTTTCAAGGCATGGATGGTAAATGACTGGGTTTTTCCCTCCTCCTCCTTTTTTTTTTAATGAGCAATTGCAACTTATCTAATGGCTAGCGGTGGATTTTTTCAGGGAACAGTCAACTGGTAGCTCCGAAGAAGTGCAGTATCCTGTAGGCTTGGAAGAATTAATCATAGAATTGGAAAATACATGTGCAAATATGGTAAAGTTTTGTCATTTAAGTATTAGCTACAGCTGACTGCAAGGTTGTGGCAAAAAATTCCAAACATTTCTACCAGTTTTCCTAATCAATGGGGATTTCAATATTACTTCCTGTGTCAGGACAGGACAGGCTCTTTTGGAGTAATTTCTCAGTTCATGACTTTTGCTTAAGGATGCTCATAATTGCCAAGCCCCTAGTACGAAATACTAGCCTGCATCCTGACAGAGTCGGAATTTTTTTTGTCTGAATCAACATTTTTTGTAGAACTATCAATTGTCACTTACTCAAAAGAAAAATTGAAAAAAAAAAAAACTTTTTTGCATAGTTAAAATTAAAACCCGGGACTGGCCTGGCCTGGTGTCATTAGCTGCAACTCCGGACTGATGACACTGATGGTTTCAAAACACATCCTAGATCTTAATTTTAAATGTGATGTGTGTAATGTTTTAAACGAAAGCAAACACAAGGAACTAAAATGGGTAGACTAGACTGAAACAAAAACAAACAAGTAATTTTATTAAATAAAACGATAAAAGTATTTGCCTTGGTCACTTGATCAAACGGTGCTATCAATATATCAAGTCCAATTGGTTATTAGACAAGCCAATCACAACACCCAACCTTGCTTTATCGATAACACGGTTTGATCCTCTGACCAGACTTTTCACTTCAAACAACGATTATATTGTAAACGCAGTAGAGATACATACATAACCTCTCAACACTATTGCTACCTAAAAGTAAATTTACAAATGTGAATAAAAAGATACACAGTGGCCATTTCTTCTTGTGACGTCATGAAATCTGTTAAGTAGTGGAGTATTTTTTCTTTTGAAACAGGGTTGGATTTTTGGCAATTTTTAAAGTCTTTTTCTCAGTTAGAATTTGATTTAATGAGAAAGCGGAAAATACAAGAATTTTCAATCCTTGAACTTTTTCCCTTAAAACATTAAACAAATTGTAAACATTGATTGTTGCCATTCAAGGCAACGTTGTAAGTACACTCATTATAGCTTGTCAAGATAATGGGAGCATTCCCTTCAATCAACTTTTCACAGAACTTGTAAAAGTACACATTTACCTTTCTTTGTACATCGTATTTGTAGCCAATAATTTCCATTTATACTTTTCAATTTATTTTTTAGGCGACAATTGTTGATGAAATGGAAAAATCAAAAGGTCATCTTCTTGGTGTGGAGAAGTTAGAAAAATTCCAGAACAAAGGGGACACCCCAATTTTCGTCTCTTGGCCCACGGCTAAATTTGGTGAGAGATGATCAGTGTCATATTGTTTATCTATTTTATGTCTTAAGCGTAAAAATTATATTTTCCAGAGCATATTTTCTGTCCAAAACATTTCTGTATGGTGTATCCAATAGTGCTTTTTTTGTTGAATCTCCCTATCTTCATTAGTTTTTCGAGTGACAAAGATGCAAGAAATTAGTTTTATACACAGCTAGTGAATAATCAAAAGGAATTATTGAAGGGTAAGAGCCAGAGGGCTTAACTGTACTACAATGTTGCAAAGTTTCTTTTGACAATGAGTTCATTTCGTCAATCAAGGTTGCAAATTCTTTTCATGAGTAGTTCATGAATTTTCTTTGTGAGTTGACCAAAATTTCCGAAATTTTGTTGGTATGTAAAACTTACACTTGTTAATGCTTAAAAAAATAAGTTATCAGGCAAGACTTTGAAACGTTGCAAGGAATTAAGGCAATGAAGCTCCTCTAACTTTCACCTCCTTCATATCTCTATTTTATGAAAAGCAACTTAAGCAATAGACGACAATACAAGGTATGAATATAAGCACTCTGATGTGTGTCTTCTCTTCAAAATCTTACGGAGAGGACAATTCGCGCAACAAAAATTTCTGAAATTGACTTTTAATGAAAGACCAGGATGGTAGAGCAGTGCTAAGTGCATTTTATCCTGTCACATATAGTTGGGGCTAAATTTGTGGTGTTTTTTTCATTGCTCCTAATCAGGAAAATTACATTTTTATTTAGCACTGGTTATTGAAAATTTGGATTTCCCTCTAACATGAAAAACCAGAGTCAGTTAGTGAATCTAATGGCTCATTATAGTGGTTTTGACAGGCTGCTGAATCAAGCAGAGCTCCTTTACTATCCTGTGTTGTCCTGAGTGTAAACAATATGCAACAGCTAAGCCAAAGCGCAGAGATTGAGGTTGCCTTATTTTCACACCGCAGAGACGGTTACGGCAATGTTTAGTGTGCGGTTTAACTAACTCTAGTAGATTATGGTTTTTTTGAGTTGGAAATTTGAATGTATGCATCAGAAAACATCAATACCTCAGCGAGAAGTTATTTTCAATCATTTTCCGTCTTCCAGTCAAGTTTTATGTTATATTTTGATGAAAAAAACATACGTCATGATGCACAAATTTACATCTTGTCTAGTAGCCTGTAGTCTAGTGTATGCTGGTTGGACATCCTCAGTCAATTTAATTCTAGAGTTTCGCATTGCAAGTCATCAGATAAAATATTTTTTCTCATTGTCATTTGGTTAAAGTGTTCCATTTTACTGTTCTTATTCTGATTTATCATGTAAGTAGTAACGGACGATTTCTCTGTTTTTCCCAGGGCAATTTGCAGATTATGTCGCTAGTGTGTACAGGAAGGAATTGAAAGTGAAGGTGAAAGTGAAAGAAAAAATCGCACATCAATCAACCAGGGAGAACTTGATGTTCTACTTCTCATGTTGGTTTTATCAGGTGTATATTGACAAAGATATCAAAGAAGAGTTGTATAACATGGCAATGGAAGTTGGTTTCAGATGATGAAAATGCCAGTTATATGTAGGTTATCCTGTTAGGGCGACAGTTTCGCTGCCAAGAGGGTAATTTTTCCCTCCTTGAAATGCCATCAGTATCTGCAGGCAGTTCTCCATCTTCACTTGGCCTGTTATTCACCTCACAAAAGATGATTCCTTGAGCCACTTGCTGGCAGATTCCTTATCAAACTTGGGGCATATATATTTTGCATTAAGTAGATTTTTGAACACTGCTATTAGTACAAGTAAGTGATCATGTTTTAAAAAGCATCATGAATTGTTGATTTTTACAAGTGAAAAATAGTCCTCACCGTGAAAAATTTGTGGCAAAAAATGAATTGGTGCAAAAGTGATGAACGAGAGCTATACTTATGAAACACCTTTGTAAATTTTCGTCACTTCAGAGGTTCTTCTAATGTAAAATTGTACACTCCTCATTTTTGTGCAGATGGTACAACGCAGTGCTTTTACGAAAGTAAAGCAATTTTTAATTGAAAGGACCATTATCTAATGGTAACAATGAACAACTTATAATTTGTTCGAAGAAAACACATTTACAGGAGCTCTAACTATGGTCCAATTGGGCTGAAATTCTGCAGGGATTTTATTTTCATGTATCGGTATCTATTAGAGACATGAGAACTGAACTTTTCTAACTTTTTTTTTCTCACTATACAAATAAGCTATACTGCATTGTGCAGCCATGTGCACCAAAATTAACATTTTTTGTTCATATTACTGTAGGATAACTTAAGTAAACAACTGTGATGCATATTTGTTGTTGGTTTTAACATTTTTGCCGTGTTTAACAGATTTCTATCAGTTTTTGTTAATCGGTTTTTAATAAAATTGTAAAAAAGGAAATGATCGTTCTGAGTTCTTTACAATCTTGATTTCATAACACCAATTTTAATTTCTTGTGGCAACAAAGTCCCATGAAATTCCTCAAGCCTAAACTTGTTCACTAAAAGTTTCAAAATATGTATTCTACAAAGGGAATCATAAGAAAAACTATAGTAGTGTTTTGAATTAAACTGAGTCAAACCGTAATAAGTTTCTCTGTTTCCCTGTGTTTTTCTGGTCATTGGAACACTGGTTTGATTCACAGGTTGTTCTTCTGGGTCAAAATTAGTTATTTTTGCGCAGTACCTACCATAATCTCCTAAACCCCTCTATTTTTAAGCAGTTATCCAAGTTTGAGACAATAAACCTCATTCTAACATTGTGGCATTTAGAGATACAATTACCATGAGCATGGTAATTTTATGTGCTCCACTGTACTTGATCAAAAGAAAAAAACGAGTTAAATTTGTGAAGTAGGTACCCGGGCATTTAAAATTGCAAGTCAATACCCAAAATCATACAAGCGAGGTCATTTAAAAGAGTATTCTGCATACCTATTCCTTTTCTCTTTCTACAAAAATAATGAAATTTTCAAACTCTGTACACTTCACACTTTGTAAATTCTTGTCTGAACATTAATTTGCAAATTTTTCTGACTTTCTGTACTTTTTACATAAAAAACTAGCCTGTTGTATCAGTGATACAATTTCTTGATTTTTCTCTCTGTGTGAAGTAAATTTGATGCAAATTTTGAGTAAAATTAAATTCAGTCTATCATAACTTACCGAGATGCGTACATTTTTAATTGCAAGAAAAATGCACGTTCTTAGAATATACCTCTTGAGTTCATGTAAAAATATAAGTGCTGTCGGCAGACTTATAGAAGGCATAAAAAAAAAAAAAAAAATTGAAGTAACATTGAAAATGATACTTTTAGAGCATGGTAAAAATTCCGAATGAGTAACCCGTACTTATTTACCAGGCTAGCCCTAGAGGAAATACCGAGCAAATATCCTCAGGTAATTCCCCAAGTAATTCTGGTTTTTTGGCTGGGTAAATACTGCGATATTGCGGTATTCTCACGAGTAACATTATTGGGACGCATTTTCCAAGGGGTGTTTATCACAGAAAGAATTTACTTAAGTGTGAAGAAATATTCTGCCAATACCATTTATCAATATGTATATTTAATCATTCATTTTTTCTTGTTTTTTCGCAATGTATGACTAAATACTATTGATTCGCAATTACTATAGAAATATCTCACCGCACTTCTCTGTCAAGAAATCTAAATAAAATGAAAAATTAGCAGAATTACATAGCTTATAATTAGCCACCATGAAGCACCAAATCATTTAGTCTTGTGATGTGAAGATGCTTGTCTGGTTACTTCATTACTGTGGAGAAAAACGTTTAATTGAAGATATACTGCTCTCTGACCTTTATAATAGAGCCTTCTAAAACATTGCTGCAGGACAAAACCTCACTTCATCGCTTCGCTACTTCACGCATTGCGCAATGCTTGAAGTATCCCCTTAGGTTTGTGGGCGTCACTTCACGCATTGCGCAATGCTTGGAGTATCCCCTTAGGTTTGTAGGCGTCAATGCGCGTTTCGAGCTGCCAGCAGGCAGCACGCCGCCCCGCGCCGCAGCGTGCCATATAACTTGCGCACAATTAATAGGTCAGGGTGTTAAAATTTAGGCAATTTAACATCAATTCGAAATTAGCGTTTCAAAAAAACACCAGTCACGAAACTTTCGTGATCTTTCAGTCATTATCCGACTTATTCCTTTCTATTCCTGAGTTTGGGACCATAGTGCGCCGCGGGCGGCGGCGCTCATGAAATTCTCCCCTGTGCTCAATCGGCAAAAAAATGGTTTCAGAAAGGTTTTCCAACTCTTACTTACTTGAATGATCCTGGTAAAAAGTTTGGCTTATAGAAGCTTCCATGAGTATGGTCGCACAGGTTCAAGCAGTAGTGGCAATAGTGGCCTGATGAGCTTGATAACATCATGACTGGTAAAATACTTACTAAAAACATATTGAGGTCTTTGAGGAATAACGAAGGTGCATAAAATGTGAGTGATCTGAAAGTAATTAGATTTCAAAAACTTTAAGAATTATACTTTAGACGCGGTTCCCTCCTTAATTTTAAAAGCAAGAGGATAAACATAGGGGATGAGACTTTATGGTGGTAGACTCCCCCTCCCCTTCATCTTCCCTCTAATCTCTAGAAAAAGAAAAAAAATAAAAGCGAGCTAACAATTCCATCAAGGGGATTTTTTTTTTCTTCGATTTTTATGATGCACAGTCCTTATTCCTCCTTCAATTTTACCTAATGCAACAAGCATAACACCTGAGAGCGCTTTATATGATTACGTAGCCGCGCGCCTCTCCTACTTCATTATTTTTATCTGTATAAAGTATCAACAAGACGGCATGATCGTTATATATCCTCTGCTTGTTGAAGCTACTCCTCTCCAACGGCTAGGTATATGAGTGGTAAACTATCTGTGATTGAGTCTGCGCTGTAAAATAATACAAGGATAGTCATTTTCATCCATGACATCCACAATTTCATGAACCAGAATTAGTTGCATCCAGACGGTAAGAAGGTTTCCAATTGAGGACACCGCGCCAAGAACAGCCTATAGGCGTATAGATCGTTATTACGCCCATCTGCTTCTCGGATTCTACGTACACTGAACTATGCTGTGGTAGCGATAGAATATAGATAGGTAACGGCTCGAGGTCGAAAAACCTTTTTTTTTTTCCGAGTTAAGTAAGGCCTCTGGATCGATGGGTGCAAGAACGACCTATAAACGGGCCTATAAGTTGCTAGTTACCCCTTCCTTTACTCACTATCAATATTCTTTCATTTTTCGTTAATCACGCGTGATTAAAATGATTTATACTTCATATTGCCACCAAAATGACTGTTGGGCGTAATAATGGCCTATAAACAGCTTTTTTAAATTACACATATGAGAGTATAAACCCAAAATGTATCGCAAAATCTACCCGGCATCCTTCAATAACATGCTGGGCTTGTCGATTTCCTTTGACATTTTTGCAGTGGTGAATGCATAGCTGAAGTGCGCTCCAGCTAGAATTGTATTTAGCAAATGGGTGGTTTTTATACGAGGATTAAAAATAAACAAGTGGTACGGAACAAAACCAAAGAATATGAACTATATAATGGACCGTAGGTTTATTTAAATTTCTGACCGAACTGTTTTCTAACGCTTCCGTCAAATAGTAGTCATGAATGCATTGCTAAAATGCGCTCCAGCCAGAGGTGTAATCAGCAAATGAGTAGTTTTTATAGGAGGATTGAAAAAAAAACAACAAATAGTAGGAAATAAAACATAATAATAAGAACTTTGCAAAACGATGGTCCGGGTATCGGAACTTGGCTCTTTTGAAAACGCCTTCAAACGCGGCGTGATACCTCACGCATTCCGGGGAGTTCAAATAGTTGTATCATTGCGCCTTAGACATGTGACGGAAGATTACAATTGAAATAGCCTCCATACACGCTGGGCTTGTCAATTTCCATTGACAATTTTGCAGTGGTGAATGCATAGCTGAAGTGCGCTCCAGCTGGAATTGTATTCAGAAAATGAGTAGTTTTTATAGGAGGATTAAAAAAGAAAAAACAAATGGTAGAAATTAAAACATAATAATAAGAACTTTGCAAAACGATAATCCGGGTATCCGAACTTGTCTGTCTTGAAAACGCCTTCAAATACGGCGTGATACCTCACGCATTCCGGGGAGTCCAAATAGTTGTATCCTTGCGCCTTAGAAACGCGACGGCAAGGTACAATTGAAATGGACGGAGTTAAACAGAAAGGAACCAAGCCACATCGGGATCGAACCGAGAAAAAGAGGTTTAAAGTTTGGCTCCTGCATAAGACTCGATGTAAAAGATAAACTTCAAGTTCAATTTCTGCAAAATTTGCTCCAACAAAAACATTGAATTTTTGGTGATGGATAGTAGAGCAGTGGTTGAGTTCAAAACCACTCATAACTCAATTTTTTCCAAAATGTGGGTTGGTTCCTTTCTGCTTAACTCAGTCCAAATAGCCTTTATACACGCTAGTCTTGTCGATTTCCTCTGACATTTTAGTAGTCGTGAATGCATAGCTAAAATGCGCTCCAGCCAGAGGTGTATTCAGCAAATGAGTAGGTTTTATAGGAGGATTGAAAAAAAACAAATGGTAGGAAATAAAACATTATAATAAGAACTTTGCAAAGCGATAATCCGGGTATCGGAACTTGGCTGCCTTGAAAACGCCTGCAAATGCGGCGTGATACCTCTCGCATTCCGGGGAGTTAAAATAGTTGTATCATTGCGCCTTAGAAATGTGACGGAAGATTATATTTGAAATAGCCTCCATACACGCTGGGCTGGTCAATTTCCATTGACATTTTTGCAGGGGTGAATGCATAGCTTTGGTGCGCTCCAGCTGGAATTGTATTCAGAAAATGAGTAGTTTTTTTAGGAGGATTAAAAAAGAAAAAACAAATGGTAGGAATTAAAACATAATAATAAGAACTTTGCAAAACGATAATCCGGGTACCGGAACTTGGCTCTTTTGAAAACGCCTTCAAATGTGGCGTGATATCTCACGCATTTCGGAGAGTTCAAATAGTTGTATCATTCCGCCGTAAGAATGTGAATTCGGAAAGATTCGGAATTACGGAAGATTACATTTGAGGACACCGCACCAAGAACAGCCATAGCTGAATTGCGCTCCAGCTAGAATTGTATTTATCAAATGGGTGGTTTTTATACGAGGATTAAAAAAAAACAAGTGGTACGGAATAAAACCAAAGAATATGAACTATATAATTGTCCGTAGGTTTATTTAAATTCCTGACCGAACTGTTTTCTAACGCTTCCGTCAAATAATAGTCGTGAATGCATTGCTAAAATGCGCTCCAGTAGGTGTATTCAGCAAATGAGTAGTTTTCATAGGAAGATTGAAAAAAAAAACAAATGGTAGGAAATAAAACATAATAATAAGAACTTTGCAAAACGATGGTCCGGGTATCGGAACTTGGCTCTTGTGAAAACGCCTTCAAACGCGGCGTGATACCTCACGCATCCTGGATGTTCAAATAGTTGTATCATTTCGCCTTAGAAATGTAACGTTAGAAAATTTCTTGCAAAACTACAAACCTGATATTAAAACTTGGCTGTTTTGAAAGCGCCTTCAAATACGGCGTGATACCTCATGCATTCCGCGGAGTCCAAATAGTTGTATCATTGCGCCTTAGAAACGCGACGGCAAGGTACAATTGAAATAGCTTTCATACACTCTAGTCTTGTCGATTTCCTTTGACATTTTAGCAGTCGTGAATGCATTGCTCCAGCCAGAGGTGTATTCAGCAAATGTGTAGTTTTTATAGGAGGATTAAAAAAGAAAAAACAAATGGTAGGAAATAAAACATAATAATAAGAACTTTGCAAAACGATAATCCGGGTATCGGAACTTGGCTGTTTTGAAAGCGCCTTCAAACGCGGCGTGATACCTCACGCATTCCGGGGAGTTCAAATAGTTGTATCATTGCGCCTTAGAAATGTGACGGAAGATTACAATTGAAATAGCCTCCATACGCGCTTGGCTTGTCAATTTCCATTGACAATTTTGCAGTGGTGAATGCATAGCTGAAGTGCGCTCCAGCTAGAATTGTATTTATCAAATGGGTGGTTTTTATACGAGGATTAAAAATAAACAAGTGGTACGGAATATAACAAAAGAATATGAACTATGCAAAACGATAATCCGGGTATCGGAACTTGGCTGTCTTGAAAACGCCTTCAAATACGGCGTGATACCTCGTGCATATATATTGAACTAGCAACACGCAGCTCGACGACACAGACTGCCTATCTCATGCCATCTTCTATGGTAAGGAATAATTTTAACTTCTCATTAAATTCAACTTAAAGTTGTTTCAGGCATTTATGGTGAAAGATAAATGTGTTCTTTTCGCTGAGGTAATTCAAGCTCCTATGTAAGTTTGTTGCCTATCCGCTGAAATTGAAGGAAAATTTTAGATGGATGATACCTGTCAACCGATTCGCCCAAGATTTGTTGATTCAACTTTCAAAGCAGCGGTATATTCATGCTCTCTTAGAGATTAGTTATTTGAGAGAAAAACCTCAAGACAAGCTTCAAGTAAGCGATACCTATCAAAAACAGAGGAGTACTTAGAAGTTATACCTTATGAGACGCGTTGACAACACACTCTTTTTTGATAGGTATCTCGTGCGAGAAGATCAATAATTTCAGTTTCATATCATTGAAATATTTGAAAGGACGAACATCTAAGTGCGCCTTTTTTACTTTGAGTATGCCACCTGCCTGAGGGGTAGAAATATTGTAATAACTCGCGTTCTAAGCTAAATCCAGGTTCTGGAAGAAAGCAAATAATCTGGAAATAGCCGAGCAACATCAGTCATTGCCCAATTTTTTCTCTCATGTTTTAATTACTTTCTAAAAAAATAACCAGAACATGCAGTTTACTGGTAAAACTATGAAAAAGAGGGAAAATTAAACAATATCAAATCAACCAGGAATTATGTCATTTTAGCATAAATTAGTTCAATTGTCCGAAATAAGATCAACTGTTAAATGAGCCGGTAGGAGAGGACAGTTTTTTCCCTCATCCTCTCAAATAATGACATCCCTGATTTTAAACAATATACAACACTTCCGATCATTTAATTCAAAATCGCATTTCAGGGACATGGCCCAACTAGTTTTGAGCAATTTCAACATGTTTACAATATTTTTAAAACACTCTTAAGTTCACTTCCCGGTCCCATTTTCCTCACTCCTTCCCCTCAACTCGGATTGAAGTGTGCGACCAGAGACGCGAAGCATTGCGTTAGTTGGTGTTTCATTAATTGTTACGGCAGCGAAAGCCAAAGCGTCTTCAAATTCAGACATGCAACACGCACATCCGGAGAACACTAACAGTTGCATCCACTGCCCAATTGTTACGGCAGCGAAAGCCAAAATGCCTTCAATTTACAGGTATGCAACACGGACATCCGGGGAACACTAATAGTTGCATCCACGCATCGCTATCATAGAATGGAAGTAGAAAGGCTTGAACCGCTCATACAGATTCATAACACACAATACGTTGTTAATACTGAATACCTAATATTCAAGTAATAGCTACAACTTAAAATACCTTAATCTTAAAGTCCTAAAAAAATCTTCACGTGCAATACTTTGAGACAAACAGTAATCACATCTCGACGTTAGATAGACCGAAAGGTTTGCCTCATTTTTGAAAAATCATAATTCTTCCGAAAGTGCAGTGCCTCTTGTAATATTAACACTATTTAAAATTAGTTACAAATAATTTGACGGGGAGTGCACTGTGCTAGTTTCTCGGGACAAAAACTTACTGGATTGTAGAATAAAAGCCTTCACAATATTTCGCTCCATTCTTCTGCCCGGTTTTTGCACTCACTTAAAAATGAAATCCCCCAATTTTTAAAGTTAAGTCGCTGACTTCCTCGTGTACACGATTTTTTTATATCGTAATCTTAAAAAGCTACTCGTAGATTTTAAAGCAATGAAAATGAAATCTTTGAACTTCTAGCTCCCACGAGATATATCTATCGAAAGAAAATATACCTTCGCAACGCGGCTCACATAGTGCAATTTTTAAAAGTGAAATAAGACGAATGATTTGCGACGTCGCAAATCGGAATACATTGTTTTACATTCTCGCCATAGAAAAATGCCTCTGTATCGTAGACTTTAATTTGGACAAAGTCAATTAATTACAAACTTGTTTTTCCAAGTTTAGATGTACTGCATGATGCAACTCTTATGTATAGGCCCGCACTCAAGTTGCAAAGGAAGCATCAGCCGCATAAAAATGCTGGTTTCTTATGGGCATTTTTCAACGTTTGTCGAGGCAGTACAGCATTTCTTCTGGCTACCACTAGAAAGAGTAAGAATCGAAATACTTCAGATAAAAATTGTCATCAAATTTTGCGGAATATTCGTTGCACCTCTTAACAATTTTGAAACTCAACTCGTGAGCGCAAGGAAAGCGTGTACCTACCATTTAAATTAAAATCCGCAAAAAACCCAAAACCAATTGAAGCCGAGTCGGCTTTCAATAGTCATATCACGTGACAAATACTTAGGGTTAAGTTTCCACAAAAGTCTCCCTCCTTCTCTGATTCCTGGTTTCGTCAAATCCTTTGTCGCGCCCAACAGTGGCGATTCTTAAAAGTTAGAAACACTGTTTGCTCTCCATTTGAATGCATGTTAAACAATCGATTCTTATTGGTGAGGCAGCTTGCCTCACTTAAAATCGATATTTTTAATGGATTTAAATGGAGGAAAAAGAGTATTGCCGACTTGCAAAATCGTCACTGACTAATCGAGAGGTTGAAGCAACTACCTACGCCCGTTGTCTTTTGTAATCCTTGGAAAAGGCAGAAGAGTAAGGAAGAGGATTTGCAGGAAAAATTAATTCCTTTGCAATCGATATAATCCAATAATCGGATGAAGATCGAAACCTGATCGTATATCACGCAAGCTGTCCGACGTACTTAACGGCGTGTTGCCGATCCAAGCTGCAGCTTGATGACTTGCAGAGTATTTAATTATTAAAAGCATGGATGCCGCTGTAATGTGTGATTTTCCGGGACTTCCTTATTTCCCATTGAAACAGAAGAAAAGAAAATAATCGCCGGCAACTGTCCGTGTAGCGAATAGCGAAGACTGTCGTATGCGCGAAGACGTTTGCGCATCGGTTTTCTATCGTCGAGTCGACATCGGCAGTGTTAACTTGGGGACGCGTGGAATTTACAGTCTTGAATGCAAGAGAACAATCGGTAATTTTTTGTGTGTAAAGTGATGCACACCTAGTGCAATTCGCATCGAGGAAGCAGGCTTGTAATTTTTTCGCCTTGAACGCCGATTTTTACGCTTCAGGTTGAATTCTTACATCTATAGTCGGTGAGGGCTGTAGAGACGGACACTAGTAAGTAAACATTTATAATTGACTTTTTTCCTGTGTCAAGTTAATGGGGTTTGGAATGATGGGGGTTCGATGATACAGTGAGATAGCTTACCATTTTTAAAAATTGACCTCAGAAAGCAATTTCCGCGGAACTTCCGGTCTCTGAGCCCGGAACGCGGACGGTATGTCTATTCAGGGTGTTCCAGGATGAAGTGCGAATCTTGAAGGAGTCGATTCTTTGGGTCAAAAAAAGACGTTTTTGTAGTATAACTTTTTTTTTCCAAAAACGATTTCCCTGGGAGCCACCACCGCCCTCCATCCCCTTCGCGCCCACTCGCGCTCCATTCAGTCCCTATTATCTCGAAAACGATGAGTTATAGCAAAAAAGCGCAAGACACATTTTCTCAATATTTTTAAACGCTAAATCTAGTGGTGCCGTCAAAAATCAATTTTTGTCGCTGGAAACATTAATTTTGGCCACTTTTAGGTTCGATACTCCCCGAACCCCCCCTAAGTGGGTACACCCCCTAACACCCCCC